AAGTACGCTCCAAACGTTGGGAGACCCGAGTTGGCAAGCGCTTCAATTCTCTATAATAAGCTGCCTGGAGGCTTTCCTTCTTTCTGCCAGGAAACTTGGCGCTTATTTGGTTCCACGTGTATCCCTCATCTCTCAACCGTACGAGATACCGTTTTTTCTCAGAGGTAAGTGGGCCTCTAGCTGCAGACACACCCGTCTTCCTGGTGATTCTGGCAGAATTTGCCGGCTTAGATGTTGTACCAACCGCCCCGAGGCTCATTGTTATAGTCTGAAACAGCTGGCCATCTAGCACTCGAAATGTAGAAGTCCCAGCAGAAATGGGAATGCGTTGTGCTTCTCTGATATCGATGGACAGTATATTCCCATCTAAGCGCCACGGCCCTCGGCTCAGTGGGGCATGGCAACATGTCTGGTCAACAACATGCCCTTTGATAATTGAAATTTCAGGTTGCGGTGTTCGTGGTGAAGTGGTTGATATCTCAACGTGTGAAAATTCCACATATTTCTTCTCCGACTCGATCGAAGTTGGGGATTTAGACATGGATATTGGGCGATTACCTTCCCTGGCGGTATCATTCGCAGAGTCTATACTCTTCGTCTTGTGTGAGAAATGCGGCTTTGCATTAGGACTGAGTTTGGACGATCTTTCGTCACTCCTCCCGCCAAAAGCACGTTCCGCATATGTTTCAGGCCTCGGGAGTGATTGTGCATCAGCCGATGTAGTATAGTCCTCATGAGTGTCATCCGATGGATCAAGAACGTCTTCATTATCGTCAGCGGCAGTGCAATGATCTTTATCAGATACTTCGGACGTAGACCTGACCGGCGTTACCGGTCGATGCGGGCTGGGATCTGAATATGCGTCCTCGATACCTTGTCCCTCATCATTTACAAATGGTGCATCGGTTGAGCCAGCACTTTCATGTAAGGGGAATAGTTCTGACTCGTGCAGGTCACTTATCGGAGAATTGGAGTCAGGAGCAGTGATGTCGTGGATATAGAGATTATCCGCTAATACAATGGTCAGAATTGAAATTTGGCAGGAAACAGATAAAGTCACAAGAGTAATACTAGCTTAATGGTACACAACTTACCCTCGAGTATAGATTGATCTTGATGTGGGCTATTTCTGCAATGTAGTGTTGCATCAATGGAGCCCCAATCTTCCAGCGACGATCGTTTGACGGTGTTTGGAGGCGCGAACTCCGCTAGGGTGAATGGTAATCCAGGCTGAAAGTCATTGTTCTTGATTATACATTCTGATGTGTGTTGTGCATGCACCTGGGTCGAAGAAAGGGAGAAGCACTGCCTTTCGGGGGTTGGGGGGGCTTCTCGAGACTGCTGGCAAAATGGCACATGATCAATGTCTCTCTCCACAGATGCTGGAGCCAATTCTGGTTCATCCACGGAGTTTCGCGCTGAAGTGTTTCGTTCGATAGTTGACTGATTCGAGATGTAATCAGCATCGTCCTTCCCCCGAACCTGAGGAACTGCATCGTCATGACCCTTGTCAGCTACTGACGTCCCAACAAGCTCACGGCCTGTTTGTGGCCCATGAAATGGGTCATGCAACGAAATGCAGTCCTTATCAGATGTCGCGCTGCATCTATCATTGGTTGGCTGCGCCTGAGAGCAATGAGCTGGATGACCGGTCAGCGCTTCGCACCGAATCTCTAGGCAAACTAACATACTGTTATCTCTACAACATGGATCGAAATTGTCCCTGTCGGTAAGGTTGTGGGGTCTCGTAACAGGTCTGGCCGATCCTTCCATGGACGGCTGAGATGGAATTGTATGAAGGTTGGAAAAAGACTTGGTACATCGCGGGCTGAATCGCTCTCTTCTGGAGTATCTGTTAGGGTTCGAGTTGGGTCTATAGAATAGAAAGGCGCTCATAATCTCTTGAAGTAGACGGCAAATATAAATCGAATCATAGACACCGATAGAAAAGCCAAGGACATTCACACTCTTTATATGTTTCAAATACTTCCTGGACCGATTCCGACATTGCTGATTCGGATCTGCCGAAAAGGCCAGTTCGCACCACTTCCAACTTCAGCCTGGCCATGGTAGCGACGCCTGATTCGGCGTTCTGAAATTTCCCTAACGAAGTTCACTAAA